TTACCCTTTTTGTTGTTTGTTAAGTTTGGGTATATTATAAATTTTTAAAGTTTCCTTTTCCTTGAAGGGTGCCGGGAATATTAAAAGATAAATTTAACGTTTCTTAGGGCCTAAAGGTATCCCAAATTATTTTAAACGGGGCTACCAAAAATTTCCCAAAAAACCCCTTAAAGGAAAAGGTGTACGAAAGTTTCTATACTTCCAATCGTGAAATTCCAAAAAATGCTCATATTTGTTGGAAACTTTAGCAAATTCACTTTCTAAAAGCTTTAAAAAAAGATTGCTTGTGAGTCTGTTTTTGTCACTTTTAGTCCCAAAAAAAATGTTACTAGTTGCAAGCCTAAACCAAACTGTTACTTTCATAATCATCTTCCCGTTGTCTCTGAGGAAGGTCCCCGCTGGGGGCGCCCCATATCATTAAACGCTATTTTATCCCAAGCAAACTCTGAGTCCCGTCTCCTAATGCCCCTGTTTGGGTCGAAGGCCCTCTCTAAGTCCCGAAATGGGGAAACAAATTATATTTTGTCGATTGGCCGTTTATAACGCACTCGTAATGCCCCATTACGATTTTTTGCTCAAAAACCTTTAAAACCAAAAAAGCCCAAGAAAATTTGGCCCTAGAAGAGAACTTCTAGGAATGGAAAAGCAAAGGGAAAAAATGCAAAAATAAGTTTCAAGAGTATGTTAATAATTTCTGGGAAAAAATTTTGAGAAAAGCCAAATAACATTACTCATGAAGATATGTGTAAGACAGGATATCAGTAAGAACAGATGCATTACTTTGATACAAAGTACTGTTGGCCCCTTTTAGGTTTAGCGCTTTTTTTGTTGTAAAAATTAGATACAAGGTACGCACCCGGAAGGAGCCCCCAGCTGCTTGGTAAGCCCCAAACTTGAGAAGTCTTTTTTTTTTCTTGAGGCTAGTTTCTCTTGAGGTATGATTCCAAACGAAGTCCCCCTTCCTCTGCTCCACCCGTTGCTAGCGCCTGGCAGTACACCGCAGACTTGAGGCTAGGCGCAATGATTCTGAGCATACGTGAATAAGAAATAAAAAAGGATATTTTTGTCAACAGAAAAACAACGCCACTTATGTCCAAAAAAAAACTCACCCTTATTTCCACAAAAAAAAACCCCCTGATGTCCACAGAAAAAAAGCATACTAATGACCAAAGAAGAACCATGCAAACATGGTTTTTTTGGTACAAGGCAGGTAAAAATTGTTTTGCATGTTTTACTTGAGATCCCCTTCAGCAGAATAAATCGTATATAGTAGTGTTTTGGGGGTCACTCTCATTTTTCTCTCTCCACACACACCCACACTTCATTTTCACTAAAATTTTTTATTACTTTAAAATACACCCTTAAATATGATCAGATTAGTATAACATTATTAAGCTTTGTCAAAAGTTTATTCATCATTCCTAAAAAAGATTTTGTACAGCTGACTTACGTATTGTTGTCTGGGTTGGTATCCATTGTCGGTGAGAGGGGGTACATTGTCCAAATTGCTTGTGGCGGGGGTGAGCAGGCCCAGTGACAGCCATAGTGCGCTTGTATTGTTCCAACAGGTGGTCATTCACACTGTTGTCCAGCCCTAATGTGTCGTATAACTGCACCACCATCTTCAGCATGTAGTTCTGTGGTGGACAAAAAAAAAAAATCATATTTTAAAAAAAAAAACCGTTTTAAACCCGAGGGAAAATAGGAAAAAATGAATTGCCCGAAAGGCTATGGTCCATTTAGCGGTTATTAATTTTGCTCAATTTTCTTAAACCATTCTGATCCAACCTATGCGTAACTTTTTTATTATATGACAAATGAAGTTGCCCGGTAAAATGTCTACACAATTGTTTTTCTTTTCGTACCCCTGTATCAATTTGTAAAAAATTTCTCACAGGTAGTGTGTCAGTTTAATAACCTGGTCATAGGTTTTATATATATATATAAATATATTTTATATATTATATATATTTTATATATATATATATATATATATATTTTATTTATCGTGCTAAAAAGGTAAAAATTCGATTTTGGGTCAAATAGCAAGGCTTTCCTGGAGTAAGGCAAAAAGGAAAATTTTTATGTAATTATTTTGCAAAAAACATTCTGAAACCCACGTAAAAAAATTTCATGTGTGTGTTTATTAAATTATTGTAATTTAAAACAAAATATTTTTGGATTGGGCTAAAAATTAAATTTCCTTGTTTAATAGGTTAGGTACAAAATTTTTAATTTTTTACTTAAGTCCTTTTAAAAATTTTATTTATACGTTTAAAGATATTTTTTTTTTCATTTAAAGTTTTATGTAAAAAATTATAAATTTGCACCAAAAGGAACTTAAAAACTTCCCACCCTTATTATAAAAGAAAATTTATTTTAGCCAACCAACTAAAATTTAAAATTGCAATTATTTCGCAAAAATCTTCTGAACCTAACGTAAAAAAAATATTTCACTTGTGTTTATTAAATTATTGTAACCTTATCTAAAATTATTTGTTGGATTGGGCTAAAAATTAAATTACATTGTTTAATAAGGTTAGGTACAAAATTTTTAATTTCTACATTAACAAAATGGAAAAATACATATTTAAGTATAAAAAAAAAAATTTAAGAAGGATAAAAAATTTTAAAAAAAGTTCTTGTATTTGACCCGTTTTCCCATTCGGCACGACTTTAATGTTTTTAATTATTTAATAAATTACATTAGGATAACCTAGACAAAACCCCGTTTTCCCCGTGGACCTGGCGGGGAAAATGTGTAAGGTGGCCAGGTTGTTGTTTGGGTTTAGGGTTAGTTTTGAAAGAACTGAAGGCCGGGGGGGGGGATCATGTGTGGGAGGGGTGTGAGCCCTATTGAAAAATATTGTTTAACAAAAAGCCTTTTTTGGGGGTGAAAACCCAATGATTTTTAATTTTTTAAAAAAATTGGTTTTAAAGTTTCGGTTGGAAACATTTTGGAAAAAATAGGGAAGAAATCACCCCCCCCCGGCATTTTTAAAATGTAAATTTAAATGTATTTGTTTCCAAAAATTTCCTTGGAAAAAATGTTTTTTTTTTTTAAAATTTCAAAAAATTTTCTGACTTCTGGAAAAAATATAAAAATTTTTACCCCCTTTAAAAATTAAAAATTTTATAAATTTTTTTTTTTATGCAATTGGTGGTTTTTTGGGTGTTGGGGCGGGGAAAAAAGTAAAATTTTTATTTAAAAAATAAAAAAAGAAAAAGTTCCCCCTTTAAGGACCTTACTTTGGGTTTGGATGGAAATTTTAAAGGTTTCTAATTTAATGGGGAATGGGTTTTGGTGGGATTTTTTTGGGTGGGGGGCGTATTTTTAAAAACATAAAAAACCCACAAACACGGTTTGGGGGTTGGGTTTCTGGAAGTGGGGGGGGGTTTAAACCAAAAATTTCCCTTTAAAAAAGATAACATTTCGGTTTTATAAATCTTCATTCCTTTTTCCCAACCTTGCCCCGAGTTTAAAAATTTAATGGGAAAATTATTTTCTCTGAAAAAACTTGTTATTGAGTGATTTTTGTGTAGTAGTGCGGGGGACAAGTTATTTTGTGAAAAAACTTGAGAAAACCCCCCTTTGAGGTGAAGAGCCCATGGTTTTTTGGGAGGGATGGATTATGGGTTGATCCCTTATAATTTGGGGGTTTTAAGTTGGGTTTAGTGGGAAGGGAAATTTTTATTAGGTTTTTGAATTTGGGGTAATCAAAAAACGTTGGCAGTGTTACAAATTTATTAAACTTAACAGAAATTTCCCAATTCGAAGTTAGATAAAGAAAAAATGGAAAAAATTTCCGGTTTAATTTTTTTTTTTTTTTAAGGGGTGCAAACCCCAAAAATCCCCTTTAAAAGGATATTTTAACCCCTTAGGCTTAAAAATTTCTTTTTTCTTTTACCCAAAATTTCTCCCCTTTAGGACCGATAAATTTAAAATACTTTCTTTGCATTTTTTCGGATATTAGTTTTGGGGGGCAATTGAAAACCCTTTTTTCTCAGTAGTTGGAAAAAAGAGCAGCCCATTGGTTGGAGTAACTTAGGGGAAAAAAGTTTTTTTTAGAAAATAGACCCCCTGGTCTTTCAGGACTGTTTGTAATATGGTTCTCACCCCAAAACTGCGAGGTTTCCTTTTAAGTTATCTCCCCCGGTAGGGGGACCCCCCATCCCCCCCGGTTCCTAGTTTTTGGCATCGGAACCTAAAAACCTCCCTGGAGGAAGGGAAAAATCTAAATTTTGGCTTTAATAACAGGGAAAAAACCCTTGGGGGGCCCGGTTTAATGAAGTCATTTGTTCGGTTCCCCTTTTGTAACAAAATATTACATCACAACACCATAAACCCTCTTTAAAATTGTTTTAAAGAAAATGGGGAAAGCGTTAAAAATTTCCCTAAAAAATTTTACCAACAGACCCTAAGCTCCCGATAAAAAAAAAATTTCAAAAGATTTTTTTTTATTTGTAAAATTAAAACACAATTTGGGAACCCCTTTCCTTTCAGTGTTTGGGGGAGAAAAAACCCCATCTAATGGTTTTTGAGAGAATAATAAAAGAAAAAAAATTTTGAAAATTGATTTTTTTTAAGCATTTGCAAACCCAATATTTTTCATACAGTAACTGATTGTGCCAAATTAATATTACCAAAAAGGTAGTATAACATTGCATACAGTGCCAAATAGTGGGCACCTCACAGAGTGCCAGTCAGTGGGCACCTCACAGAGTGCCAGTCAGTGGGCACCTCACAGAGTGCCAGTCAGTGGGCACATCACAGAGTGCCAGTCAGTGGACACATCACAGAGTGCCAGTCAGTGGGCACATCACAGTACCAGTCAGTGGGCACCTCAGAGTGCCAGTCAGTGGGCACCTCACAGTGCCAGTCAGTGGGCACCGCACAGAGTGCCAGTCAGTGGGCACCTCACAGAGTGACAGTCAGTGGACACATCACAGAGTGCCAGTCAGTGGGCACATCACAGAGTGCCAGTAAGTGGGCACCTCACCTTTGTCGTAAGTGATGGCGTCAAAGTTTTGATTAATATTAGGATTTTCGACAGGGATTCTTATCTTGTGTGAAGACTCCAGACTGTCCAGGGTCAACACACTCTGTAGTTTATCAATAATGAACAGCTCATTCACCTTCCATGAAGGCTCAACCTAAAAGAAATAATATAGTCAATAAATTTGCCGTAGATTTATTATATTAGTGGCAAAATAATAAAACTTATAAAAACTCTTCTTTATCAATTATTTTATTTTATTAACACATCGGCCGTCTCCCACCAAGACAGGGTGGCCCGAAAAAGAAAAACTTTAATCATTCACTTCATCACTGTCTTGCCAGAGGCGCGCTTACACTTCAGTTATAAAACTGCAACATTAACACCCCTCCTTCAGAGTGCAGGCACTGTACTTTCCATCTCCAGGATTTAAGTCCTGCTTGCCGGTTTCCCTGAATCCATTCATGAATGTTAACTTGCTCACACTCCAACAGCACGTCAAGTCCTAGAAGCCATTTGTCTCCATTCGTTCCTATCTAATATGCTCACGAATGCTTGCTGGAAGTCCAAGCCCCTCGCACACAAAACCTCCTGTGCCGACCCCTACCCCGCCTTCTCTCACTACAGATTTATACACTTTCGAAGTCATTCTGCTTTGTTCCATTCTCTCTACATGTCCGAACCACCTCAATAACCCCTTCTCAGCCCTCTGGATAATAGTTTTGGTAATCTCACACCTCCTAATTTCCAAGCTACGAATTCTCTGCATTTTATTCACACCACACACTGCCCTCAGACATGACATCTCCACTGCCTCCAGCCTTCTCCTCGCTGCAACATTCACCCCCCATGCTTCACGCCTATATAAGAGCGTTGGTATAACTATACTCTCATACATTCCCCTCTTTGCTTCCATGGACGAAGTTCTGTGTCTCCACAGACTCCTAAGTGCACCACTCACCTTTTTCCCTTCATCAATTCTATGATTCACCTCATCTTTCATAGAACCATCTGCTGATACGTCCACTCTTAAATATCTGAATACATTCACCTCCCCCACTCCCTTCAATTTGATATCCAATCTTTCATTACCTATTTTTTTATCCTCATCACCTTACTCTTTCCTATCTTCACTTTTAATTTTCTTCTTTTACATACCCTACCAAACTCATCCACCAACATCTGCAACTTCTCCTCAATCTCCCACAAGCACAATGTCATCAGCAAAGAGCAACTGTGACAACTCCCACTTTGTGTTAGATTATTTATCTTTTAACCCCAAACCAACACAAGCGTAGTCACTCGAAAAATTGAAGCTCTCCAACCCGTTTAGGCTCCTTGAGAAGGTACTGAGGTTTTGCAGTCATGTTAAGTGGGTTGGTTGACACTTGTATTGGGAAGCCTGTCATAAACATGTGATTGATCTCATTACGGAGTAAACAATATTTCTCAACACAAAATTCTTAATGCATAGAGGTACTTTATGGCTGGGTAAGAAATCAGCATCAGCTGCAAGTATTTTGCTGTAGCCGTTACGTCATGGCTACAGTAAAATAAACATTATGCTTACATCAGTATTAATGTATGACACATGCGGGTTTAGCACTTGCTTTTATAATAATAATAATAATAATAATAATAATAATAATATAATAATAATAATAATGGTATATCAAGTAGCCCGTGACATTACATGCAAAACCCCAATGTGGTAACTCCTCGCAGAGTAGCTAGCAGCGAAGGTCTGATGTTTTATTTCATTTTTTAGAGGACATCTGTTGGACGTTTCTGGGGAGACATGATTTCCGAGTTCTGCAGTCCTTGCCATTGCCATTCCACTTAAGTGAAATTAGGTGTTTGTTCTGTAAGCATAATCCGTCTGTCCTTTGCGTCAAGGTAATGAAGTTCAATGGTACTCTTAATTTATTACTTCGTAAAACTTATTCTTCTGTATTCCTCCATTAAGGCTGTGGTCGTCTGGATGCACTTGTTGAAACACCTGTGTCCCTTGTAGCTCTCTCTGAATTGCGTCTTTACCACTTTGTTTATGATGACTTAATCCGTGAACTACCAGGCCTTTTTTAAGTTGCTCTGTTCCGGACAAACGGGAAGTTTTTCCTGAGTCTTCCTAACCACTTCGAACGTTTTCATTTCGACACTAAAGATGCTTGATGCGCACTGAACTAGATGTATGTGTGTAAACTAGATAACTATATAGTCTCTGCTACAATTGTTGGTTGAGTGCCCAAGTCTTGAGAAACTTTTTTTTTAACACGACGGCCGTCTCCCACCATTTACACAATATCACTGTCTTTGCAGAGGTGCCCAGACATGATAGTTTAGAAGTCGTGATGAATGGTTTAGAAAACCGACAAGTTGAAGAATTGAGACACTTATGCAACACATGGGAATCTTTAGTTTAGAAGTCACTACAAACAGCCAATATCCCAAACCCCACCTCCAGGACTCAAGTCCGGCTAACCGGTTTCCCTGAATCCCTTCACAAAATATTACCCTGCTCACACTCAACAACTTAACAGCGTCATACTTGTTGAGCTGGGTGACAGTACATGTACTGAAAGATGTGTCTTTCTCAATGTTTGCTTCCTGTGATGAGTTTATTATCTATAGTAAGGATTAAAATATCCTTGACTGGTGATGTAAAGGTGGCATGTAGCCTTAATGACCCTAGTGTAGATGACAGCTCTCAACCTAATAATAACTGAGATTCTGGGTGTGGATAATATCTTTACTCTCATTCTTTGTCTGGTACTTAATCAAGAATCCTTGCTCCTAATTTTTTCTCGTAAAGATTTTTTACATTTTTTATGACTCTTAGTTTGGCATGAGTGAGATCTTTATTTTTTTTTTGATGGAAAAAAGATTAAAACAACGAATCACTGAGCCGTGAGGCCCGGGCAATAAAGTTGTACTTACATGGTCCAAGCCAATGTACTGGACGAAAGTAGCAAAGCCTTCATTAAGCCACAAGTCGGTCCACCACTTAGGCGTGACAATGTTGCCGAACCACTGATGGGCCAACTCGTGGGCCACTACTAGGGCCACTTGGTACTGGTTGATAAGGTCAGATTCATCAGGGTCATACAGCATTGCTGTTTCTCTGAAAGATCAGCACCAAGATTGGAGCATATTAGATTATAAGTAAAATGATAATAGAAAAGTATATGAAGCTGAAAATATAAAAGTAATGTTTGAATAAGAATATAGGAATAGATACTGCAGTAAGTCTATTGACCGGTCAATTCTTACTGGAATTGCTTCAGTGACACTCGGTAGTTTATTTCATTCACCCACAACTCTCCTGCCAAACCAGTGCTTTCTTATGTTCTTTTTAAATCTAAATTTATCTGTCTTTGGTAGATATTTTCAGTAGTTTATATATACAGTATTTCATTTATTTATATTTTTCTTTTGTGCACCAGTCATTTTTTTTAACAAGTCGGCCGTCTCCCACCGAGGCAGGGTGACCCAAAAAGAAAGAAAATCCCAAAAAAAGAAAATACTTTCATCATTCAACACTTTCACCACACTCACACATAATCACTGTTTTTGCAGAGGTGCTCAGAACACAACAGTTTAGAAGCATATACATATAAAGATACACAACATATCCCTCCAAACTGCCAATATCCCGAACCCCTCCTTTAAAGTGCAGGCATTGTACTTCCCATTTCCAGTACTCAAGTCCGGCTATATGAAAATAACCGGTTTCCCTGAATCCCTTCACTAAATATTACCCTGCTCACACTCCAACAGATCGTCAGGTCCCAAATACCATTAGTCTCCATTCACTCCTATGGAACACGCTCATGCACGCCTGCTGGAAGTCCAAGCCCCTCGCCCACAAAACCTCCCTTACCCCTTCCAACCTTTTCGAGGACGACCCCTACCCCGCCTTCCTTCCCCTACAGATTTATACGCTCTCCATGTCATTCTACTTTGATCCATTCTCTCTAAATGACCAAACCACCTCAACAACTCCTCTTCAGCCCTCTGACTAATACTTTTATTAACTCCACACCTTCTAATTTCCACACTCCGAATTTTCTACATAATATTTACACCACACATTGCCCTTCGACAGGACATCTCCACTGCCTCCAACCGCCTCCTCGCTGCTGCATTCACAACCCATTAATTCTATGTAGTTCTGAAGAGTGTAGATTCAGTGTTTTTAACAACTATATAGGAATGACTTATGATAATTTACAGTAAATTAACTTTGTTATCGTTATCTGTATTCTCCAGTTGCTCTACAATACAGATGCCCGGACTGCACTACTTGATCTAAATGTGACTTTACTACGACTATAAAATAGTTATAACTGGGAACCATTTAATAACAATGAAATCCATAAACCAATCAGCGAATATGCAACCCATGATAGGATTAGTGTTGCAACTTGTTTGGTAAGAGAAAGTCCAGATAACCTACAGACATCATGTTAGGAAGAATGTGCACTAAAATACAGCACTGTGCCTCACTCTACCTTGCAAGGGGATTTATTGATGCTGGCGAAGGGTTCTTGATCTAGGTAATTAAAGCTGTCCTCCCAACCTTATCTTTTCCATTCCCGAGGCGATGTATGATCCTCACGGGTTTAGTGCATTCTTAAGAATATCAATAACTCAAATACCTAATGTCAAGATCCCATTCTTGCAAGTATATATATAAACCAAGACAATGTCAAGGTACCACCCCAGTAGATTACAGAGTATGAATATTGAAAGGCTGAACTTTATCTATATTATCTTATTAAAAATCCTAATTTTGTCACTATTAACCAGAAAAACTTTAGTGAACAATCAGCTGGTATAGTTTTATCAAAATATGATATGGAATGGGCTAAATCGGCTACCAACAGAGGACAAGAGTACAGTACACTATTGTCTTGATTCCAATTTTTGTTCTTTTCTATAAACAATAAAATAGATAATACAGTAATATTAAAATGATTTGCTTTTGTGACTCCATCAGCAGAAGCCTGATGTTATTAAACTAGATTACAAGACCTCAGTTCTCCAGGTCTTCCACAGCAGTTCACCAACAACAAAATGTAGCAGGTGCTTACCTGTAGGTTATGAGGCCCCAGTTCTCCATGGCTCCTGCAGAGAAGTCAGGGATGGCGATCATGTCCTGCTTGGGGAGCGGGTAAGATTGGTTGAAGTAATCCTCGAAGTGGGTAAGAATGGCAGGGCCGACTCTCAGTGCATACTGTGCTTGTGTCAGGGCCTCCTCCCGAGCCCATACTGTGAACACCCACTCATATGCATTACACAAACATCAGTCACACTTTCACTAATTTAATTCTGGCACAATGATGGTATTTACATTCTTGAAAGTAAAATTGTTTTTCATTATCTCCCAATCAATTTAATTAGTCATTTTTAATTTGAATCGTTTTATCATGTATTATTCAGTCACTATAGGAAGCCGAAAATTTAGTCACCTTTGCAGTAACACCATTCAGTATGGAGCCCTACATCTCCATATCACATTAATTTCCCTATAACGATGCAGTGGTTACCTGATCCACTAAGTGGATCAGGTCACCACTTCATCCTTATAAGGAATTTTTTTTATATTTTATATTTAAAACAATTCAGTACATCATATAATAAATACACATATAATCTCAACAACATGAGATTTATTGCAACCTATCCACTACCTACTCTCGCCACTGATTACAGAACAGCAGGGCGACAATAACAAAACATTACCCCCTACCCTAAAAGATACCCTTAGTGTGTACCACTCAATAAAAAACCTGGTACAAACAACGTTCTACTTAAGAACAAAAAGGCTGTCACCTGCCGCCACAATGCTAGATCCATCCCCCACTATCTGTATGGACGGCCATACCACGTGACACGAATGATTATAATATGACCTTATAAGGAATTAGTGTCTCAACATCCAGAAAAGAATTTTTAGTGTTGAGGTTACTCTCTTTCCCCAATATTTACTGTGACTTACAGCCTATGGGATGAAACGAATTATTTTTATTATGCTTTTTTCACTACCACTAATGTACTTAGAGTTCTTTTGATTACTGTATATGTTTAAATTAGGTACGAAATTAGCAAACTGATATTGATAAAATAATAGTAAATTAAGATTGCTGAACATTGATACTGATGACAGAAAATTAATGAATGCAACCTTTTATGTTGAAAGTAACTAGTAACATTAAGAGTTCTAGTGTTGTAAATCATACAACTTAATTCAAAATATAAAAAAAGCTATAATCACCTCTGAATAAAATGTGTTTGATGTCAGTGGCATTCATGTGCGCGAAGTCTGATATAACAAAGGCGAGAAGGTAAGTAGACATGGGGACAGTGATCTTGTACTCGTCCCACAACCATCCCTCCTGACCTTCCCTGCAATACACCATGCACTAGTTATAACATTATTAAAATGAAGAAAAAATTTGCTTTGCCTTCCAGTCACAAATTTGTATTGGTACTACTGAAATAAAAATATTTAAATAAAATATACACCTACAATAAAAACTATCACTTGGTCAGTCCTGATAACCCCAATCATCGTGAACTACTGAATGTTGACATAGCAACAACCGCAGTGAACCAATGACTGGTTGTTGACATAGCAGCAACCGCAGTGAACCAATGACTGGTTGTTGACATAGCAGCAACCGCAGTGAACCAATGACTGGTTGTTGACATAGCAACAACCACAGTGAACCAATAACTGGTTGTTGACATAGCAAGAACCACAGTGAACCAATAGTTGGTTGTTGACACAGCAACAACCAGTGAACCAATGACTGAGGGTTGACACAGCAACAACCATAGTGAACCAATGACTGAGGGTTGACGTACACAGGAAAAGTGTTGTTTATGGGCATGTTGGAAATGGTGGTCATGTTCGCCTCCCTGGCCAGGTATACCTCAAAGGTAGCCTTCAGTCCCGGCTCGTCAAAGCAAGGGAAGGCTCGACGCGCGTCCGTCGCCTGGAACTGTGTCACTGCCAACAACCTGTTGAAAAAAAAAAAAAACAGAAAAGAAGCATGGTTTATTTCTTAACTCATTTACAGCATTGTATAGTCACATGATTAAATAATTTTTAATTTATTTTTTGCTGAACGCTTATCCTAGTAAAATATTTTACAGTGTATTTAAGATTTTTTTAAACAAAATTGCATCACCTCAAATAACTTACACAGTTCATGGAGAGGGAGACCTATATATGAAATATATAAAACTACCTTAGGAAATCTGAGTTTTCAAATTCGTAAAGAGTTACTCAATATATTAAAGTACTCCTTGTCACAAACTGATTTTTATTTTGTATTAATAATCAACATAATATTCGAACATGAAGCAAAATATTACCTCGCGAAAAATGAAGCTGTCGACTAATTGCTTGTCATCCCTTCGAGTGTCTGTGAATAATTCTCAACATGACAATACTGTCTAACATTTTGGCGACAAATTATCTTATTTAGGGGTTCCCGCTTACCCGTCCACCCCTTTAAAAATAAATAAAAAAAAACATTTGTTATTGTCTGTAGCTTGTGTTACTCTGCCACAGTAAAGTACACCAGTACAGATTCTTTGGCCCTGGTAGTTCCTGTAGGAAAAGGGAAGTTTACCCTCAATGCATGTTTTTCATAATTCCTAAAAAACTACCCGAGGAGCAGGGAGGTACACGTTTCCAAGGAAAACCACCCCCTCCCCTTGGTTGCGGGCCTAGGAAGAAAATATTCAAACAATTACGGAAAGAAATCTGCAAGTTTTTCCTGAAGTGTGTGCATTTCCCCCTCTTTGGAGACGAGGCTCCTTAAGTTTGATTAGTTAAGGTTTGTCAGGAAGCAGGACAAGTATTTCCTGACGCGGGTCTTAGTCATGTGATGACCCACAACTCCGAGACTTTCCTCTGGCTTACCCGTCCACTCTTTAAAAATTATGGTTATGATAGAGGCTGCCTAATTAGCACTAAAGGTAGTGCTTCCATATTTTATTTCACCACATCGGACGCTTCCCAGCAGAGCAGGACGGGCACTGTTTATTCTTATACCAATCTTGCCAAAGAGCGCGGTCATAACAATTCAAAATTATAAATTTATTTTACGGTATCAAAAATTATAACAGTAATAATTTCCCTTTTAGTTTTATTAGTCACATACTGATATACCAAGACAAAGAAAGTACATATCATAAATTATAAATATAAGAACAATATACAGAAAGAAGCAAATATAACAGCGTTAGAACCCTTGATCCATCTGTCTTGCCACAAGACAGTTCTATGAACTTTCTCTAAATTAATACATCACATTGGAAATATCACATTAAAGCACTCACTTTAAATTACCAGCTGCGTCTCTGTAGGTGGACCTGTAGAAACCTCTAAGGTTATCGTTGAGGAGCCCAGTGAACTCCATAGAGAGGACGTACTTGTGGCCCTGCTGCAGCGCCTCCTCCAGGTGGGCCACGTAGAACTCTCTCTGACTGTCATATTCATGCTTCTTGATCACTAAGTCTGCAGCGCCCTCCTGGTCGTCCTTGTCAATTAACTGTGAGTAGAGGGAGGTATAAGATCTTTTAGGAGTGAAGAAGAGTAGGATGTCAGTGTGGGGGAGTTGCGTGAGGCATTAGGTACAATGAAAGTGGATAAAACAACTGGAACTGATGGGGGTCATGACAGAAATGTTAAAAGCAGGGGGGACATAGTTTTGGAGTGGATGGTACTTTTGTTCAGTAAATGTATGAAAGAGAGGAACGTATGTAGGGATTGGCAGAAAGCGTGTATAATTCCTTTATATAAGGGAAAGGGGGACAGAAGAGATTGTAAAAATTATAAGGGAATAAGTGTGCTAAGTATACCAGGTAAAGTGTATGGTAGGGTTATTATTGAAAGACTTAGAGGTAAGACAGAGCAGGATTGCAGATGAACAAAGAGACTTTAGAATGGGTAGGGGATGTGTAGATCAAGTGTTAACACTGAAGCATATAAGTGAACAATACTGAGATAAAGGTAGGGATGTTTTCATTGCATTTATGGATTTAGAAAGGGCATATGATAGGGTGGATAGGGAAGCAATGTGGCAGATATTGCAAGTGTATGGAATAGGTAGTAACTAAATGCCGTCGAGTTTTTATGAGGATAGTGAGGCTCAGGTTAGGGTGTGTAGGAGAGAGGGAGATTACTTCTCAGTAAAAGTTGGCTTTAGACAGGAATGTGTAATGTCATCATGGTTGTTTAACATATTTATAGATGGGGTTGTAAAAGAAGTAAATGCTAGGATGTTGGGGAGAGGGGTGAAATTAAATTATGGGGAATCAAATACAAAATGAGAGTTGACAGTTACTTTTTGCTGATGATACTGTGCTTTTGGGGGATTCTAAAGAAAAACTGCAAAGGTTAGTGGACGAGTTTGGGAAGGCGTGTAAAGGTAGAAAGTTGAAAGTGAACATAGATAAGTATAAGATGATTTAGGTAAAGAAAAATTGGATACCACATTGGAAGGAGGGAATATGGAAGAAATGGATGTGTTCAGATATTTAAGAGTTGACTTGTCAGAAGATGGGTTTATGAAGAATAAGGTTATCCATAGAATTGATGAAGGAAAAAATGCGAGTGGTGCCAACACTATTATATGGGTGTGAAGCATGGGTTGTAAATGCTGCAGCGAGGAGGAGGCTGGAGGCAGTGGAGATGTCGTGTCTAAGGGCAATGTGGTGTAAATATTATGCAGAGAATTCACAGTGTAGAAATTCATAAGAGGTGCAGAGTTACTAAAAGTATTAGAGGGCTGAAGAGGGGTTGTTGAGGAGCTTTGGTCATTTAGAGAGGCTGGAACAAAGTAGAATGACTTGGAGAGCATATAAATCTGTAGTGGAAGGAAGGCGGGGTAGGGGTCGTCCTAGGAAAGGTTGGAGGGAGGGGGAAGGAAGTTTTGTGTGTAAGGGGCATGAACTTCCAGCAAGCATGTGTGAGCGTGTTAGATAGGAGTGAATGGAGACGAATGGTTTTTGGGACCTGACGAGCTGAAATGTGAGCAAGGTAATATTTTGTGAAGGGATTCAGGGAAACCGGTTAGCCGGACTTGAGTCCTGGAGATGGGAAGTATAATGCCTGCACTTTAAAGGAGGAAGGTTTGGGATATTGGCTGTTTTGAGTGACACCTAAACTGTCGTATCTGAGCGCCTCTGCAAAGACAGTGATTATGTATGATTGATGGCGAAAATGTTGAATGATGAAAGTTTTTTTCTTTAATTTTTGGGTCACCCTTCCTAGGTGGGAAACGACCGACGTGTTACATATGATATATATGTCGTGCCATATAGGTAAAACTTGCGATTTTGTCTTAAATAGCAACGCTCTTCTTGCCGTATAAGGCAAGCGAAAATTTGTGTATGCAATAATTTTGCAAAAAATAATTTTGAACCTAACGAAAAAAATATAGTTCATTTTGTTTATTAAATTATTGTAAACCTATCTAAAATATATTTAGTTGGATTTTATTAAATTAAATTGTGCTTGCTATAATAAGGTTAGGTAAGTTTTCTAAGGTTCTTCTGGCACAAAATTATTAATTTTCACATTAACATAAATGCAAAAAATATATCTTTAAACGTATAAGTTCTTACTAATTGACCAGTTTTACCTATACGACACGACATATATATATTATGCAAAAATCGCGAACAAACGATACAAGATGCAAAACAACCATGGGGGAGTTGAATGACACCTTTAGCCTTTCGTGTTGCAATCAACACATCACCATAAGCTTGCAGTGTTGCAGAAAGGAGTAGGTCCAAGCAAATGGAAATCTTTAGCTCTATCCCCATGTGGCTTGTTCTGCATATATCCACAACATCTATTTGCCCTCTGAACCACTATACAAATTTGCAGTATTGTTTGTAAAACCATTCGTTGATTTTCTCAAATAAACACTTACTATGACAGTTTCATTCTTGGTGATGATATCAGCGATGTGGAGGGTGATATTGAGGGTGGGCTCCAGCACCTCCATCTCCACCTCCACGTAGCCCAAGATGCTGAAGTTGCCGTTGATGAAGGGCTGAAGTTTGACCAGGTAATGGAGGGGCTTCAGTGCTCTCGGAAGACGAACATTGATGTCTTCTTTTAATTGACCCGACGTGGTTTTAGTGGTGGCAACAGCTGTGGTAGTGGCAGTGGTAGGAGTGTTGGTGGTGGCAGTGGAAGTTGTGGTAGTGGCTTTAGTAGGAGTTATGGTGCTGTCGGTAGTAGTTGTAGCGGTGGCTGAAGTAAGATCTGTGGTGGTGGTGGTGGTGTCGGCATCGGTGGTGGTTAAGGACTCAGTGATGTTGAAGGAATCGGTGGTGGTTAAGGATTCATTGATGTTGAAGGAATCGGTAGTGGTCAGAAAATCGGTGGTAGTGAAAGAACTGTTGGTGTCTAAAGAATAGGTGGTAGTGAAGGAATCGGTAATGATGGGGAAGACGGTGGTGGTAAGAGAGGTTGTTGTAGTGGGAGAGGTTGTTGTTGTAGTGGGAGAGGTTGTTGTGGTGGGAGAGGTTGTTGTGGTGGGAGAGGTTGTTGTGGTGGGAGAGGTTGTTGTAGTGGTTGTGGTGCGAGAGGTTGTTGTAGTGGCTGTGGTGGGAGAGGTAGTGATTGTGGTGGTAGAAGCTTCTGTACTTGTTATTGCTGAGACAACAACAGTTGACGTGGGTATTATTCTGCAGGGCTGTTAAAATACAAATATATTTTTATAGGCTACTATAGATTCCTTTTTTTTTAATAAACGTCTCCAGTGACTAGAAAAATCCTTTACTTCTTTCTATAATTAGTATACGAATATTTCCAGACTCCCTTCCCCAAGATTATATTTACGAAACTCTAAACATTAATGACTTAAGGGCAAGACTGTCCAATTCTTCACCCTACTGCCATGTTTACCTCCTCCCATTTCTCTTAATATATTAGATTTTTGAGAGGCTGATCGAGTTCCAACATAGTATTTAAGATCCTGAAAGCCCTTCAGTAATCTCACTCTGGTTCCAGCTCCCTCTGAGGTTTTCCTATGTAATATGGTAAGTACTTTCCTTTTCTATTGTCACATGTTATATAATCATTAATACTATAAATTAAGTGTAAATATTGTAACATTTACTTATCTAGTGTTAACCCACCAAACTGCACCTCTTAATCCTATTATTAAAATGCATGTACCGCGTCCTAACTTGCCCACTTTGCTGCTGGGATGTACAGGTCACTACCTCACCCTCCCAACCTAATAAATACATAAATGACCATAATTTTTAAAGGGGTGGACCGGTAAGCCAGCGGAAGGCCTCGGTCAGATGACCAAAAGCTCCAAAGGCGGGTCATCATCTGACTAAGACCCGCGTCAGGAAACATTTGTCCTGTTTCCTGACGAACCTAACCTCACCCTCCCACATGGCTCTCAAACTCTCATGCGCACTCTTGATTGTTTAAGTTTTTACTATTCCACCGTCTATGTAACCCAGCTTTATACACACACTTTGTTCCGTGAGGGCAACTGATGCCTGTGAAGGAATCTTGATTAGGTAATTTGAGTTAGATTCATTTCCTTGGATTAAACCTGATTACCTTTTATTCCTCGGATGTGGTATAACCCTTCTTGGTTTTGTGCTTCCCCATGAATATACTAATAATACTACTACTAATAATAAAAATATACATGCTCTCCATCACCCACTTCTGCTCCATTTTTTTACGCTTTTTCCTTGAATTATAACTTTCATTCTGCCTCCCAATTTATACATTTGTCATTTTCTGAACATTGCTACGCCATAACCTAAACTCAAATTCACCATTTCCAGTGCTTCCCGTAACAGTGAGCTGCAATTGTTTTAGAAATTATTTTATTCTTTAAATTATAGATACAATAACCTACTTGAAATCTTGCTGTAGACACGAACCTCTGACCCAAATATTTTAAGACACACATCTCGCTCTGACTCCAATAGACGATGTTTCTAATAACACAAAAAATATTTTTTTGAAATTGGCATATTTTATGCTATCAACGATGTCTTAGCTGTGTTGAATGGGATTTAATTAGACACAAGCACATGATATTTACCTCACAACTAAATGAGAGCGGAATCACTGAAATTACTTAAAACAGAGGAGTAAGGAGGTGAACAATGCAGTGGTTTAAAGAAGAGAAGAAGTAACACCTTACCTGACGACCATTAATATTCTCAGTATGCCTCACCGGAGTCTCGACGACCTTGTGGGGTGGAGCGTAAAAGTACACAAGAAGTCCCGTGGCCACGATGGCACTCATGAAGATGATGGCCAACAAACAACCTACAGATCGGCTGATATAACAGCCGCTCTTTTTGCCAAAGGACACTAAGTGATCTGGCGAGGTGACATCCATGGCTACCACATCCGTACTTTTGTTGTAATTAGTCATATTGGTGTTGCTGCCGGGGAAAAAGAGAAAATATTACATTTGTTGCGCCATCAGATAGGTCACTGATACTGAAAATATTATAAGACAATAGAGATTATTGAAGCTATGATTGAGGTCACAGATTGATCCATGAAAACATAATACGTACAATGAAAATATTAGTGCCGATTAATACACTAGATCAAGATTGAGATCTTAAGTTAAATTTTAACAGAGCAAAGTTTGTAAACCCCTTTGTATCAGGATTACTCAAACTTGGTAGTGTGCTTCATCTATTGTTATGTGATGAATCACATGCCTCCCTTGTCGAACACTATGGTCGTAGTTCCTGACTACGGCTCAGGCTTCTTACTCGCAAAGGCAATTTACAAATTGTCCTCGTGATATCGCAGCGTTCATCTAATTTTGCAGTCGATACAAATGGTGTTATTTCAGATCACATACCTGGTACTTCTCGACCTCCTCCTATGATCGTAACACGTCTCTACGTTGAGTTCAATTACCTGTACACAAATATGAGGAAATCACGGTATGGGTGGGGTTTGAATTCGCTCGCCATGGGTTCAAACCTCACCCGTATCGTGGATTGTTTGCAACTGTGTTATTACGATTTCGTGAGTCTGTATCCGGCCTGAAAGTCTCTTTTCTTAACCAGTACGACAGGGAACGGGTATTTTAGGCTAATGACGTACTCTAGCAGATAACATAACAAAATTATAAACTGTAGGCAAGCATGTTTATCCTCTCAGATGTACTTTCCTTAATGTCTGCTGTGAAACGATCATTCTTCCATGTTTGTCCATCAGCGAGCATTTACTGAGCGTAGAGATATTTTACGGGAACCACAACTGCAACAGCTACGCATTCTTAAAGTAGCCACTTTTGTCCGTAAATGCTGAAGCAGTGTTTAATTGCAGAGTTAACCTTCGAAGGTTCAATACTATATTCTCATCCTATACTGAACGCTAATGCCACTAAAACAGACCCTCAGCTAATTTTTAATGAGTACACTAAAAAGATACAGGATGAGCAGGATAGGTTTATGTTGTACTCAGAGAAATAACAAATGCAGTTCAATGCTAACAAATTTAAGGTTCAATTCCTAGTGAAAGAAAATAACTAGGGCCCTTGTAAGCTAAATAATGTAGACCTTAATTAAATTAAATGTAAAAAGAAAATTAGGACTAATGGTTAACGAAAATTTAAAGCCTAGACAACATGAGGATTCGTAATAAAGCTAGTAGAATTCTTGGCATCAATAATAAGTATAAGTAATAAAAGTCCTAAGGTTATACTTCAGCTTTTTGTATCTTTGGTAAGATCCCATACATATTATGCAACTCGGTTATGGTCTCCATATTACAGAACAGACATAAATGCGCTGGAAAATATACAGAAATAGATCCAAGTTGCTTCCATGTATTGGAAACCTTTCCTAATAAGAGTTCACTGGACGAGAGGAATTGGGAGGGATATCACTGAAGTATAAGAATAGGAAATAAGGAATAAATAACGGAGACATAAATATGTTGAAAATATCTAACCAAGACAGCAATGGATTCAAAGTGAAGGAACGAGAAAGTACTAGTCTGGCAATAGAATTGTATATTAGTGGAACACTTTCCTAGGTAGCATGATTGAACCAATAACTTTTGGTAATTTAAAAATAGGTTGGTCGGGTAAATGAGTAGGTGTGGTTGGGTGTGAGTTGGACCTTCATAGTATAAACCAATAGACATATTGCAGGGCTCTAATGTTCTTATCCCTTAGTTCATACATATGTCAGGAGATTTTGTCACCCACCCATTGTCGTGAAAATACTCCTTACATATCCCCACTGCAACCGTGTAAATATCCAGCTACATTTAAAAAAAAAAAAAGTATTATAATAAAGAATAAAAGTCATAATATCGTGGCTGAAACAATTTACAAATAACCCAAATATATATATAAAGTTATGAAGTTCTAGTCCCCTTCAAAAGTAATTTATCCCCATTATGACTCAAAAAATCGTAACAGCATGATTGCAAACAAATCCGGGAACGGATGGGGCTTGAACCCATGGGCTTAAGCCGAGTGGTTAACACAAGGTCATGGGTTCAAACCACACCCGTTCCCTGATTTATCCCCATTTCTGCTGCTTCGGTGTTATTAGTTCTGTTATTATTAATACCAGTATTCCTACTTATACCATTCCTATACGCAAATATAACACCATTCCTAATACTACTACTAGTACTGCTATCACCGGTTTCCACCCTCTCCCTCATTCCGACCTCTCTTCTGGTCTCCTCTGCTTTTTCTCTCAATTGCGACTTGATAATGGTATAGGATTGAAAGAAACGTCGTCTAAAAAACTGTAAATGTTAGTATATTATGGAAAAATACAGGAGAAATATATAGTAACTTACTCTAGTTTATTATTATTATTCTAACAACTCAGGTTGAAGCAACAAAAACATGGATCGTGATTCGAGTTATTTACGTTTCATTTTGAGATTAGCCAGACCCTTGTTGGTCTGGGATAGTGGTTGAGGGGAGGGTGGTTGGGGGGAGAGGGGAAGGGGAGGAAAGGATAAGGGGGTATGGGGGAGGAGGAAGATAACTCCCTGCCATCGACACAAGGCTTCAGTCAAATTCTTATTTCGACGTCATAATTTGATTTAATCAGTAAGGAACAAGGGCTTTCAGTTGAAATACACAGATGAGTCTTTGTTTACAAGGTGGTGTGAGGCAGTGCTGACGTCATGAAGAACACCTTAACTGTGCTTATTACTCCTTGAAGGAAGAGGAACAGGATGAGGAAGAGCACCAACAAGAGGAAGTGTAACTGACAAGTTAATATATATAAAACGAGAAATAAAGTTTAAACAGAGGTAATGAAACATAATTTTGTCTACAGAAATAGTGACTAGGCTAAATAATAAGACCAGTACTCACCTACGTCCTAAATCTAAACTTATTTAATTTAAATCTGTTATTTCTAGTTCTTATTTGATTCGATATCCTCAGTACTTTACTTATAACACTTTTGTTTTTAAAAGTCTGATATAGAGTAATTCTCGAGTTAATGTATGGAAATCACTATTTCAAATTGTTAAGAAAATACTCCTTACACAGTACAACCTTTACGTTAAACTTTGTATGATTAGCTTGGAAAAGACCCGGCCCGGGCCTTTTCCAAGTGGTGGCCCGTCCTTGGCTCCCTGTCTAGGGAGTGACTGAGACCTAAGTCTCCCATGGGAGGAGGCACAAGTACCCCCTCATCGTTGGGACCAACTGTTCCCAGGCCTAACCACATTCCCCGCCCTCACGGGGCTCGTAGGGAGAAGGTAGGCCTCTCTGGTCTGTCATCCCCGCCCCAAGGGAGCTAATGGGGACAGTCTTGTGAGCTGCAAGCTCTAGCTCAGGCACCTACCCTGCCCCAGAAGGTCAGGGCATGGTGTCGATGATTCGCTATTGTTGAGAGTTTGAAGTCGATCAGATAAAGCGTTCTTAAGTTACTTCACGGAAACCATTATAATAATGTATTTAAGAAAAAAATTAAATTGAGACTTATACAGCCCATTAACAACGCTAACCTTCCTTAGTGCTAAACTACAACAGCTAAATATCTGAAGCAGATCAGAAAAGGCATTGTCCAATTGTAAAGAAGCCTAGGACTTTGTATTTTTTTTTATTTCGTTTGGTTAGCTTCATCAGAGTTTAAAGTTTGAAGCCATCTAGGAAAACTATTCTTAAGCTATCACAGATTTGTTGTTTTAAAGAAAACTGGCAAAGGAGTATCTATACATAAGTTTGAAGCCAAACAGAAGTTATCGCATAGGAGAAAATGGAGGAAGAAAAAAAGCTGACCACGATTGACGATCACATGTAAACTACAGTATATACCAGTTTTAATCAGTTTATGCAACAGTTTTAGACAGTGTATAGCAGTATATACCCGTGTCAGTGTATAGCAGTATATACCCGTGTCAGTGTATAGCAGTATATACCCGTGTCAGTGTATAGCAGTATATACCCGTGTCAGTGTATAGCAGTATATACCCGTGTAGTATACCACACGTATGCCACTAAGTATGTACTAAACACATGTCACAAAGCGTATACCTCTTATTTCCATTTGAGTAAGTAGGGTGTCTTTCCCAGGATCCCACCCACAACAATATGCACACACCCGAGTACCTATTTACTGCAAGGTGAACGGGGGCAGCAAGTCTAAGGAGACCTGCTCAAAGAGTCTTACTAACACGTCCAGTAATCTAACTTGAGTCCTTTCACTTGATTATATGGTCCCCTACGGATTGATGAGGTCAAAGCACTGCGCTACTGAAGATTTCATCGGTGCAGATAGGTTAGGTTAGGTAACATTCTTCAGGAAACAGGACAATTGTTTCCTTACGCGGGTCTTAGTCATGTGATGACCCGCAGCTAGAGCTTCTGGTGATCTGAGGGAGGCCTTCCGCTGACTTACCAGTCCATCCTTTTAAAAATTAGGGTTATAATTATAACCATAGTTATTTTGAAGTTATCGGCGCAGTGGCAGTGTGTTCGGCTCACAACCGACAGTAGCCGGTTTGAAACCTGGGCGAAACGGAACGTGAGCTAGTCTACTGACACCTACTGGCTCTGTTACCTAGTACTATTTACCTAGAAATTAGTCACCGATGTGGGTTGTACACCTATAGGGTATTTTGGGGATCAACGCCCCCTTGGCTCGGTCCATGCCTTTTCTGTAATCCCGAGTTATTAATCCTCATACGTTAATCAGAATGTAGTGTTTCGAGGATAAAAAAAGAGACCACAAGTATCCAGCTTCCCTGGTTAGATTCACACTAGAAGCAGTTAATATATTTATTAATACCCCGATGAGTTACTCGGTTATTGGCATTTTCAACAATTCTTCAATTACAGTATGTTTTAGGAAATCTGAAATTCCAATCGGAGGAAAAATAAGTAAAGACCCAACTGGCCTAAACTACATTATTGGACGTCATTGGGTTATTCAAGTATATATATATATATATATATATATATATATATATATATATATATATATATATATATATATATAAGTAAAAATTATAGTAAAACTGGTCAATTAGCAAGAACTCATTTAAAATTAAGTCATTTCTAAAATTTTCTCTTATACGCTTAAAGATATTTTTTTTTTAATTTGTTAATGTAAAAATTAATAATTCCATATCAAAAGAACCTTAGAAAACTCACCTACTCTTATTATAACAAGCGCAATTTAATTTAGCCTAATCCAACTAAATATATTTTAGATAAGTTTACAATAATTTAATAATAAACAAACACAACAAAATGTATTTTTTTTTCGTTAGGTTCAGAATGATTTTTTTTTTTTGCCAAATTATTGCATACACAAATTTTCGATTTCCTTATTCGGCAAGAAGAGCGTTGCTATTTAAGCCAAAATCGCAAGTATGTTAAGACCGTTGTAAAAGAGTAACTCTTGAATAAGCTAAATAAGTACGATTTACATTGATGTTGTTACACGATATGCCAGTATCCTTTGCTTTATCCATCATATTTTGCATATAAAAACATGCTAGTTTACCTAAACATACATAAATCATACCCATATAATAGCTACAGGAACCATAAAGCCCCTGCAGGTTTAGCTCATTATGAATATAATTACAATAATTAAAAACAATACTTTACCCCTTGGAAGAGAAATTACAGATCCTGAACAGCTAATATGATCTTTATTAGTTTTCTCACCACTTATCTTCGGCACGTTATTCGCTTAAAAACGCACCTTGCTTACCCTGGGGCAGCCCAACACACACTGACTTGAGTAGCACCAGAGTCCTGCACACCCTATCTATCCCTTCCCTCCACTCCCAACCATCCCTCCTTCCCCTAGTACAGAATTCTCTCCACAACCCAATTAACCCTCTCTTCTCTAGTACAGAATTCTCTACTCCTCCCCATAACCCAATTAACCCTCCTTCTCCTAGTACAGAATTCTCTGTTTCTCCTCACAACCTAATTAACCCACTCATTCCCACTCTTAGTCGTCCTCCATTTTTTTCGACTTCCTCCCTCTGCTATATACACAAAATGAGAGGTTCCAGGTACTAGAGCTTAACTCCCGCAGACACAGTTTGGCGGATAAACCTACGTGAGTAAAGAGAGTCAAAAGTAGGCTAAACTTCATGTTGGGTAGAGGTGGCCTCAAGTGTATTCTCTAACAAATATAAAACAACAGCTGCTCAGTAATATAATAATGAAGATGCAGAAAGGAAAAATAATAACTTTTATGTTGTTAATATCTTTATAATGTACGCTAATCTGGGAATTATTTTATTTTACTTTTGTATTATTAATATTAAGGGTAAAATATAACTGACGGGCTATATAAGCCTGTCCATGTAAATTATGAGGGACCTTAATGGAATTAAGTCACATTGAATAGGTTAAAGCCGCATAATGTACTTTTTTTTATGCGGCCATAACATGTAAATTTCCTAAAGACTATTCTGAAAAATAATTGTATGTTATGTACGCAAAGCATAAATATAAATTTACCCAATAATGAGAGTCACAAATGATCATTGAAGAGGCGAGTGGAGTGTTTACTCAGTTGTTGCACCATCTGCCTCAGCAAGACAGTAGTTCCTTGTACTCTACACACTAATTACCCATCAGCGAGGGGAGGGGATGTCTGTGTAGATAAGAAATTTATTTACCTATAATACACAGTTTTAAGTGATACAATAACCTTATGTACCCACATATGTGTAAATTACCTAGGATAACCCAAAAAAATCAAAGTGACTTATTTCCATTCTGGTCCTGGATTTTTATCATGTGTTTGCAAACCCTTTCTAATATATAATTCACGTGGATGTTTTTGCTACTATCCCCAATACAGAATTAACAAGGAGGCTACCCAGCAAGCGTGTACCTTTACAGGATATATCATCGATTTTTTTCCTACAGTGAAAAAGCACATTTATCGTATGTCTAACATTCTGTGTACATGAGCGTCAAAACAAGTGTTACTGTTACTAGTAACAACACCAACAACAAAAACAACAACAACAACAAAAACAACTAAAATAAAAGTGCCTAAAAAGGAAGGGGAGAAATATACTTGTGAACTTGCACAAACTTGTTAATTGACATGAATCATACTGGCAGTTACTTGAAGAGGCACTGATATGATTTTAATGTCTCCTTTACAGTTTTAAATAGTGCCTGGAGGACATGGCATTTGTGAAGTGAATATTGACAATATTATAACAAATATATATATATATATATATATATATATATATATATATATATATATATATATATATATATAATATATATATATATATATTATATGTACATCAAGAGCTGAGATGAAATGCAGGTTATTAGGGTGTTTATGTGTACTGTCATAGAGATAATAGGTTAGTTAAACGTTCATTGTTATAGTTTCAATGGTCCTCGTTGGCTCCTCCATGAGTAAGGTACTTAAGGAAGTGTGGCAAATGAAGAACACATCCTTTGATCTGTATGTTTAAATGGAGAACACTTGGGGCATTTGAGAGAGTTAATATCTGAGATGTTTATCTGAGAAACAGACATCAAGCTGGGAGGTCTGCTTACAGGAGATTGACTGAATCAGTACCCAGAGTCCTGCAACAGATTGACTGCATCAATACCCAGAGTTCTGCAACAGATTGACTGCATCAATACCCATAGTCCTGCAACAAATTGACTGCGTCAGTACCCAGAGTCTTGCAACAGAGTGACTGAATCAATACCTAGAGTTCTGAAGGAGATTGACTGCATCAATACCCAGAGTCCTGCAACAGATTGATAACATCAATACCCAGAGTCCTGCAACAGATTGACATCAATACCCAGGGTCCTGCAACAGACTAAGTGCCCCACGTTTGTGTTGACGCAGATGTGAATGTTGAATACGTGTCAATATTGGATCGATGCAAATGTTGAACAGTTGTGACTGTTGGGAATATGTATAACACAGACAGATTTGGGCGATAGGTAGAAGTAAATGATGGGCACAGAGAGGATGGATAGATATGGATGATGCCATCTCTCATCAAGGATTCAATAATTTTCCTTGTGAGAATTTATTTTTATATTCTCTCATGTTTATTCTTTAGTTACGCATCTTTTTTCGCTCTGCTGCTGTAGTTCCAGTTATCCTTGAGATTCCTTCACCCATACTTACTTGTTGCTTAAGGTAATGAAGCAACCTCAGTTATTAGTACCCCTCTCTAATACAGAGGTTATATGCAAGTGTTGAAACTGGAAACACCAGCCCCTCAGTCTAAATGAAAGTGTTCACCACCGTATTCTTGATGAATTATCATCTAAGCTGAGGGACTGATTACTCGTTTACTTTTGTCTCGTTTCAACATTTTCATATAACCTCTTTGCTGTACTGATAAAGCCACTGGTTGGCGAAAAGTCTTCAGAATAAAAATACCCAGTTGTGTTGTGATGTGTTGCGTTGATTTGTGTTGCGTTGAATGGTCACCTTGTGTGCCACTCCTGTCTTATATCAAAGTTGATACCTTCCGTTACCCGTCATGTTGGGGTCCCTCACCTTGATACGCGGAGAGAGAGAGAGAGAGAGGGGGGGGAGGGGAAAGATACATATTCAGGTGTGTAATTGCTTAACGAATATATTAAAATAATACAAGGTCCAGGAGCTTGAACTCAACCCTCGCTGACACAAGTGAGGAACCATCATCACAAGTCCGCTCATCCTTCATTTTTATTTTTACAGTTCGTGAGAAAATGAGCGAAATGAAATAACACCCCAGGCGTATTTTTAATTTAAAATTTGTTGGATAATTTTACAGAAATAAGATTAGCATAATATAAGATTTTGTTGGGATTTTTTAAACACTGGTGAACAGGGTTACCCAGCCAGGATAACTGGTGAACAGGGTTACCCAGCCAGGATAACTGGTGAACAGGGTTACCCAGCCAGGATAACTGGTGAACAGGGTTACCCAGCCAGGATAACTGGTGAACAGGGTTACCCAGCCAGGATAACTCAGTAAAGTCAGTGCGTCAATAGGCACTGTCTTATTTGCATTGTGTTCTTTAATCTTGTCCCCCAGGATGCTACCCACACCAGTCGGCTAACACCCAGGTACCTGCTTACTGCTAGGTGAACAGGAACAGCAGGTGTAAGGTGACTAACATCCAGGTATCTATTTACTGCTAGGTGAACAGGAAAATAGGTGTAAGGTGACAAACTCTTGGTAATACTTACTGCTAGGTGAACAGGAACAGCAGGTGTAAGGTGACTAACACCCAGGTATCTATTTACTGCTAGGTGAACAGGAAAATAGGTGTAAGGTGACTAAATCCCTGGTAACTACTTACTGCTAGGTGAACAGGAACAGCAGGTGTAAGGTGACTAACACCCAGGTATCTATTTACTGCTAGGTGAACAGGAAAATAGGTGTAAGGTGACAAACTCCTTGGTAACTACTTACTGCTAGGTGAACAGGAACAGCAGGTGTAAGGTGACTAACACCCAGGTATCTATTTACTGCTAGGTGAACAGGAACAGCAGGTGTAAGGTGACTAACGCCCAGGTATCTATTTACTGCTAGGTGAACAGGAAAATAGGTGTAAGGTGACTAACTCCCTGGTAACTACTTACTGCTAGGTGAACAGGAACAGCAGATGTAAGGAAACGTACACATTTGTGCAACATTTGGGTATCTTTATTTTGGAAACGTTTCACCAGCTAGTGGCTTCTTCAGTCCAATGCAGAGAAAGATGGACCATGAGGAGGAGTTTGAGGTGATCAGTCCCTCAGCCTGGAGTCGATGCGTTCAGTCCGTCAGTCTTGATGAAAGTGCAGCATATTCGCGGAGATGGAGCTTATATTCTGGGGACAGATGAGTTGGAGCAGTGGTAGGCTGCACTTTTATCATGATTGATGCAATGAACACATCGACCCTAAGCTGAGGGACTGATTACCTCAAACTTCTCCTCATCTTCCACCTTTTTCTGCATGGGACGGAATAATTCACTGGCTGGCGAAACGATTCCGGAATAAAGATACCCAAATGTTGTGCAAATGTCTCATTTATCAAGTTGTTGGTTTTGTAAACCATTTATTCAGTATCAGTCATTGTCACAACGTGGCATCAATTATGGTCACAGCGCAGCGTCAATCATGGTCACAGCGTAGCATCAGTCATGGTCACAACGTAGCATAAATTATTGTCACAACGTAGCATCAATCATGGTCACAACAAAGTGAGTAAAGACAGTCAAGAGTCGAAACTAATACAAGGAATGCAACAACTCCGATACAAAATAAATCGGAAATGTTGGAGGTAATTTCTTGAGCATGAGGCAGTAGAATGCTCAAGTAGAAGAAATGGTGATCAACCTCATACCGGACCTCCCAGGTTAATACAAAAAATTTCATGGTGCTTGGGATTCATCACATTGGGGCATTTATAACTACGGAACTCAAAACATAATGTTTTGTTTTCCTAGACTCAGCACAAAACACACACACACACACACACACACACACACACACACACACACACACACAGATGAATACATCAAAGATCAAAGGCAGTAAGACTTGAAAAGGTTTCACCATAAATTCTGTGAAAGGGAGCAGAATCACTGTCCAAACTAGTAGCTGAGATCTACAAGTCAATGAACACTGGACAATTACCAGAGATCTGGAAGACAGTGAATGAAGTACGTATATTGAAGAAAGGAGACAGGCAGAAGGTGTTGAACTAGTAAGTAAGTAAGTAAGTAAATTTAT